AGAGAGAGAGAGAGAGAGGGAGAGAGAGAGAGAGAGAGGAGATGAGAGGCGAGAGAGAGAACGTCGATGCTAGCGAGAGAGAGAGAGAGGACGAGAGAGCAGGTTATGAGAGAGAGAGAGAGAGCAGAGGATGAGAGACGAGAGAGACGAGGAGGAGAGATAGAGATAGATAAGCAATAATGTATAAAATCAGATTTAATCTTTCAGGTTAAGAAAAGTAATTTGTAAAACGTAAGTTATTTTTCTTGTCGAACTTGTACCGTTACTGATAAGAAGCCGATTACGAAGATTCGTGACAAGAGATGGCGCCACATACCACTCAGGTTGCAGGGTCGACCCCACGTGATCGTGTAAATAGTCCCCTTGTGGTAGCTGGCTGAGATCATTGGTGGCCTGGAATAGAGAATCGTATAACTAACACACGTCCATCCACCATGCGTTATTCTGCTCGTGTAACTTCGTCCCATAGAATAAACGTCTCCAGTCAACTACATCTGTAAACGTCCGTTCACGCGCATTTTTAGCCGGTAACTGTCGTGACCTAAGCATTAAGTTATCCCATAATGCAAGAAGCTCACTTGGAAGCAAGAACATCGTATATGCCCACTCTTCCCTCCTCGGTAGCATATGCCAGCCAGCCCTCTTTGGATGGATGCCACGCCACCTACAGGATAAAAGTACGGTTATTTATTTCATAGAAATTTTTTGTACTTAAACACATTTGCAAGTGATTCAAATATCATAATAAAACTCCGAAGATTTACTTGATGGTCAAAACAGCAGAAACACGAAAACAGTAAACATGCAAAACAGGAATCATTTACAAATGAAATCCTAATAATTATCCTAGTTTCAAACCCAAATTCAAACCCAGATACGACTTCATTTAATATAGAGACATAGATATAAAAAGCATATTACGTATGTATATACTTTAGTACATAATACATGTTACTTATTTATACACTTAAGTACATATTGCTTATGTACTCACAGCAGTGACCTTGGCTTTGATACCCTGCCAAAACAACTGTAGTTCGTAGGCATTTGACTCCGACTGGGGGCTCCACACTCTTAACTGACAGTCTCCGGCACCTATCGCCAAACGTCCTAATAAACGTTGCAAAATTTAGCTAGAAAACTACCGAGTAGTTTTTAGAATAAATTTTATATACTCCTGCATAAAAAAACACTGGTACCGATACGGTATACTCGCCAAAATTACGCACAACCCTCATCCACATTAGTCCATGCTGCTCTCCTATTAAATTAATTACCGGACCAATAAGAATTAAAATCGAAATGCAAAGTCCACGTGACAACATTATACTCATTGGAGGAAAAAAAGTTTCACCTGTCTGACTAGAGATGGCGATAGTGTTGACTGTGCCACCGACTGTTGGTATGGCCACCTTGCTGGTGAGACATTGCAGGTCCCACAGTATGATCTGTAACATTAAACATGTTACAATTTCTCCACCCTCAACTACATAACTGTCAACAGATATTTACCATTACTTCGTTCACAGTCAAAAGCTGCTAAACCCACACGTTAACACGACTCGATATTATGACTGTTGCAGGTGGAGGAAGAAGATCGATACCTGTCTGTCCATGGATATCGTACAGATGGTGTCCCAGGACGTCTGTACGATGCTGAACACCGTACGCGCATGCGCAGTAACGCCACCTGTAGTGAAAACCTGAAACTTCCCTTTGCCAGGCTTGCTCAAGTCCCAAAGCAGGAGGTCACCCCTGAAACATTTTTTTAAGAATCTATTTTATTTATCAGCCCTAACACTGGCTACAATTCTGAATGCTAACAGAATTCGCAGACAAAATTCCACTCAAAAGATCGCGCATGTAATGCTGTACAACGATGACGGAGAACGCATGCACTAGTCTGGCCATGCTCTATGAATGTTTCACATCATGTAAGTGAGAACTGAGGAGGTAACTTGTGGCTACGCATGCACATAACCAGTAACACAGCATACTCTCTCGTTACTAGTCACACATGCTACCAGTCACCTGCAGAGCAGAGCACCGACAGATGGCTACACAGCAAGCAAAATGTCAATGGCAGCTCCTACTCTACAATAATAGCAATCAAAAATCGTTCCCAGATAAGGCCTAAGAAAAAAAGATGTTTGTTTCCGCTAACGAGCTGAAAAAATTGAACACGGTAGGCAGGCAAAACTTTTTTTACATTTTTTTTTGTATTCTAACAATACTTGTTTTATAACTATAACAGCCCATATAATGACTTCAAAGTCAAATCAATGCATTCACCGATCAATATCACGTTGGGATTTTTTTTATTAACATTTTCTTTTTTTTGCCGATCACAATAAAAGGTTTGGACACTGCGGTTTAAAATGGACTCGGTCGGGTTAGCGGAAACAAACGTCTTTTTTAAGGCCTAATATCAATCAAAAATCCTCCACCGATAATATCAACCGCCGCTTACAGCTAACATCATTTACATGCATGCGTCCACACAAACCCGTGAGAGCTGGATATGAGTTCTTGCGGACGGTCTCTCGGCCACAGCAGCGCCACATAGGTGCGGCTGCGACCACCGCTGTCGTCGTACGCCCCGCCGCCACCGCGCTGACGAGTCGTGTTCGGCAGCCGCATGACGGCGATGCTACGACCCCTGGATCGGCTCCACAGACGAATCGTTCTGTCCTTGCTGCCAGACGCCAACAGACCCTGATCGCCGCGGTTACTGTCAACGACGGCGACATCTTCTGTTAAAGAATGGTTCGGAATTTGCGAACGAAATGTAAGAATGTGTGGCAAAACGGTTATAATTGGTGAAGAATTAGTATGATTGTTGAAAAATGGGTTATAATTCGTGAATAATGATTATAATTGGTGTAGAATTATAAGAATTTTGGAAGAATGGTTTTAATTCATAAAGAATGGTAATAATCAGCAAAGAACGATACCAACGGATTCCGCTGCACGTCAAACTTTACTGACCTAGCCTTTAATTTGAATTCCAAACAACTTTTTTTCGTAATGCTGAGTAACCAGGTTTATCCACGATGATATTCTTTCACAGTTGTATATATTAAAGGATCGGGGTAATACTGAATGCGACACAATAACAACTACAATATACCTGTCTGCCTGAAATCCTCACAACGTGACGGGGACCACGCTAAGCTGTGTATCTCTTCGTCGTGACCTTTAAATTTCTGCACCACGCTGCCTTTCTTTTCAACGTCGACCACAATAATGCTCCCGGACTTGTAACTGTGCATATTAGGAGAAAATATACCCAGATTTAGATGCGTATAATTCCATGGTTCATACAGGACTGAAACAATTTTCAAGGACATTTTATCAGAAATTCAAGGATCTTTTATCAGACATTTTATCGGAATTCATACACAGAACAAAACATACCTGGATTAATTTAATAACCCTATTCTTAATCACTGTCACCTCTAAAACTTACCTGGATCACATTAATAAACCCTTCTAAACACTGTCACTTCTACAACATGCCTTGATTTACTGACTGATTTTATTGACTTACTGTAATTTGTGATCATCATTTAACTGTCTATCGTGTCTATAACTTTTTAAGCTCATTTAACGCAATTTTTATAGAGGTTTGCACATTATTGATGGTACAAAATTTCTTTTTATTACAGGCAAGGATTATTTCTCACAATTCAAGAACATTTTCATGAAATTCAAGGACTTTTCAAGCACAAAATCAACATTTACTAAATTCAAGTACTTTTCAAGGACTCCCCTCAAATTCAAGGACTTTTCAAAGACTATGCGAACCATGAATTCGCATAAGACAGGCATTCGTCAGCATATTAGTCTCGTTAATTTAAACCATAATAGTTCACCCACGACAGTAGAAATTACCTCCGTAAAAACTACATCTGAGGGGAGATGCTGGCCAGTCTTTGCTAAACTACATGAAATTAAGAATGTACACACGTGAACTCTTCCAGGCATAATCTTTGGTGCTTTTACTACAATTTATTAGGAATTTCTCGGCAGCAAGCACTTGCTGCCGACGTCGAGAGGCAAAACTGCCAGTTGCTGGGCCCTTATTTTTGAACCCTGTAAACGGATCCCTGTCGGCAGCGAAACTGTTGCTTGCTGCACCTGTAATTACGAACTCTGCCTCACCCTATGGCGACGATGCCGGGGTGATGCGGGGAGCAGGCGAGGGCGCTGACGGCCTGCGGCTCCGGGTGAAGATGCGTCGCCTCGTCCGACGCGTAGTTCCACGAATACACGTGGCCGCGGTCGTCGGCGGAAACGATGACGTCCGTTGCCGCTGGCGACCAGTCGACAACAGTGAGCCTATTCTGGAGAAGGAGACGAGCACGAATTTCATGTAAAACAATGTTCGCATGCTGATAATCGGTTAATATGTGAGTCACTGAGTGCGTTTCCAGAGTGACCCTTACACGTCAACGGAATCAAAACTAATAAAGTACACAGTGGCTATATGCCCGGCAGCCGGCGTATATCTGACGGCTGCCGGGCACGGTCTTCGATTTCCTAAATGCCCGGCAGTTTTTAATTTTTAGCGTTATCTCAAGTAAACAAGGGTTAGGGTTAGAGTTAGGATTAGGGTTAGGGTTAGGGTTAGGGTTAGGGTTTTTGTTAGGTTTAGGGTTAGGGTTAGCCACAAGTTCCCATCTCGCTTAACACTACGTGGCGAGAGGGTCACAAACCGACGCATTAGAAATATGTTCGGTAGTATGTGCGCTGCTATTTAACGTTAAATTATCTCACTTTTTATTATTCTTATTGCTTCTCCGTACTTCCACGCCTCGATTTATTATATGTGCGCTATCACTGAGTATGTATTTACGTGTCAGCGAGCAATTATTAGAATTGATAAGATGAAACTCCGAACAAACGACGCCACTTCCGCCATTTTTCAATAGATATCCCATAATACGTAGCGAAAGTTCGTGGCGAATCTCGCGTAGTATTTCGCGCATAGACATAAGAACATCCAGTATGGCGTTTTACAACGTTCAAATATTATAGCGCTGTTCTAAATTCTCTTATTTTAACGTGTATTTCGAGGTAAATAGTAATTAAGAAATGATGCGATAGTTGCAAACATGTGACAGGTGAGGTCAAATGTGGTAATACATTGTTTTATTTACGAAATTTTACGAAATTAGGAGTTTGTTTTGAAGCTACCAGGTATTTCGTATGGAAGGGTGTCAGGCTCCTCCGCCGTGTAACTAGTCGGAGAGCCTGGTCGGTTTAGGTTAGGGTTAGAGTTAGGGTTAGGAACTGCCGGGCATTTAGGAAAACGAAGACCGTGCCCGGCTGCCGGGCATATAGCCACAGCGAATAAAGTAATTCAATTATTTAACGTCATGACAGTGTATCGATTAATAGACAATTGCAACTTCACTCGTACCTGGCCATGATGATTGTGACTAGCGACGACAATTTTTGTATCTGCATCCCAGACGCGAACCTTGCCCTCCTCGTCCCCACTACAACCTAACGTGCTGCCATCTGTCGGGTGCCAAACGACTGATGTGACGCGGTTTCTTGATTCGCATATCCAGCCGCAGTAGACAGGCGGATCGGTGCGTGTGTTCAAAAATACAACGCTGTTTCTACCGCCATAGGCAACGATACCGTTGGAGTTGCAGGCAGAGACTCTACTGCAGTACCAGCTGGGCGATATCGCTAATCCTATCCCTTTCATCTTACTACTCAGTTAAAGACGGAAGCAGAGATTTCAACAAAATTGTTCTAGCAATACTAAAATCACATTTCGATTCATGGAGGCAGACATGATGTGCGCAGCTGCTGACGCCTGGCGGTCATTCCTTTTCGTGTTTTCACACGCACACGCCCACAGAATTAGATACAAAATTTTATTTGTAAGATTTAAATATATTTGCAGGCATTTTAACAAGCTTTAACACATTTAAGTACCCCAGCCCAATTAATTTCCCAATAAATTTTACTCGCTCATAGCTACACAACCAATTTCTATAATCCATCAATATATATGTACACTTCAAAATATATGTACACTTCATTTGAACAACGTAGACAGTATTAAAATATATACGAAAATTTATTATTATATGATATATAAAATATTGTACAAAGATGTATAATTTTTTTAACTGAACTCTATTATTTAATACAAAAGTCTCAAAATTAAAATATTTTCTCTCATAATTATAGAAAATTTTTGATATATTTATTATATTATATATATAACACATGCGTATTGTAGTTCAGATGTATAATCCTAAAACCATAAAACTTGTATATACACTTGTAAGTCATGATCACATTGTATATTTACCAGTCAACGTTATATTCAAACAGCACTATTGTAATATATTTATATAAAATCTCTAAATTACCTTTGCTCATAATAATTTTAAATAAAAACCATATTAATTTCATGCCGTGTCAGACATAGTGCCGCCATCTATGGGCAGTAAAAACCTCCGTCGTGTTTGCGGGAGTATCCACCGTTGGTGGCTGCATTGTGGTGACTCTCTGTAAAGTGAAATGATGTAAAGCATTAACGAGGTGGTAATAAATAATTAAAAATCTGCCGATTCTAAGCAGTAACTACCTTTTCTATTTCATGTGAATTCGGATTTCCGAATTTAAGTAAGAAGAATGTTTTAACTAAGAACATTTTTTGCTCACCGATGGCGTTGCTGATGCTGTGGATGCTTTCTCGCTTGGCAACCTCAGCAATGACGAGCGGATGGTTCAAGGGCACGACCTTCGGAGGCACCGCCACGGCTCTGTTCTTCAGCTGCCGCCTACATGGAACGAGAACAATGTAAACTTACAACCAGATGGCTTCACGCTATCTCGCGGAAGTTTCACGACTCGGTGAAAAGATGGCGAAACGTGCATATGTCTGACAATCTTCTGACATTAGAACAATTTCTAACAATGTAAGAATTTAATGGTAATACAGTTTCTGACAATTATAAATATGTGATTCATTTAGAAATTGGCACTCTCATTGACAGTTTCCCAACCTTTACAACATGGATAAGCTTACTACATGGCTTACATGTAGGACATGCATATGTGGTACATTAACGCACATTGCCACATAAGCCATTTTACATTGAAAATTCAACAAACCCATGTAAGAGTCCAACTGTCTCTGGCTGTATCAAAGTCTCCGGTTGGCTGGCTTGGAATCGGTTATGATGATCATATGTGGTTTTGAGAACAAAGTCTATACTGTCTCTTGGTGCCTGAACAGAGAATTTTGCATGTAAAGTGAAGTCACAATAATATAAATATTATGCACCAAACTCCAGTGGTTGTGTGTTGGGAATATCGACCAGAATTTTATTAAATAACACATGCAAGCACTCGATTTTACCTGTGGGTCACAGTGATAGACAGTTCTACGTGCACTAGCTAGTGTATTAGTGGTGTTGAGCCGGCTCCATGGATTCTCCAACTGTGCCACGTGTGTCGGTAGTATGTACTCGTCCTGCTGTATTGAGAAGTCACCATTCTAGTATTAGTAAATTACTGCTAGTGCTAATGTCGTAGACAATCACAACTATATTCAATCTGCAGGGCCGCTAACTGGCCAACTTGATTCAATGAACAGCTGATTGTCATATTTTTATGGTAATGCTAGCCGCACACTATCCGAGCCGAGCGCGATTTGAAGGCTTACGATTGGATCGAGATGTTCTAGTTTGGCTCGGGAGGCTTAAGATTGGCTCGGGAGGCTTAAGATTGGCTCGGGAGGTCATTTTGGCCCGATTCGAATTTTGAATCGGGAGCAGATCGGGTCGGATAGTGTGCGAGGGCTTACGACGCGACTCCTATCACCAGCTAACACTAATCGGGTGCGAAAGAGGACGCAGCAGCCAGCAGCAAGTGACAGCAACGCAGAAGATGATTGGTGATGATGGTGATGATGTCGATGATGACGATGATGATGACGATGGTGAGGACAATGAGAGTGAAGATGGTACAGTCGTGATGATAGCGGTGTTAAGAAAAGTCGCTACGGGTATCTCGCCTTCCCGTTAACATTGATGCAGCCGACGCGTAACAGGCAACATTAACGGTGGGCAGTGCAGTCGACGTGCGTATCGATGAGAATAATTACAATGAAGAGGAGGAGGGAGGAGGGAGGAGGAGGAGGAGGAGGAGGTGGAGGAGGAGGAGGAGGGAGGAAGAGGAGGAGGAGG